GTTTCACCCTTCTGCTCCAGGAAGTGGCAGCTTCTTCTGCACGGCCTTGTTTAGCTCCGAGAAGAACTCTGGCCTCACAATGGGACGGCCGCACAGGAGCGCAGAGATGGTCTGGTCAGAAGAACAGGTGAGCACGTCAGCACACATTTATGGACAAACGTAAATAAACATGAAGGTTTTCATGGTGACGTCAGAACCTTGATGGTGACTTTAACTGTATTCATGACCAGGTGGGTGCAGTCCTGAGTCCAGGAGTTCACCAGCTTCCCTCCCAAAGACTGCAGAGCACTCGACAAGGATGCCTTGTCACCATTGTCCAAACACGATGAACAGACAACTGGCTTCAGAAAGACCAAACTGGGAAAAAAACACAGCAGAACAGGGAAATGTGATACAGGTAGAGATTTTAAGATTTTTGTGGAGTTACAAAAAGGACCAGAGTTTGTTGCCGTCTCACACCTGAATTTGCTGTTGAAGGCTCCAAAAGTCACTTGGTCTCCTGACTTTAGGCCGACTGCTGTGTTCTCTGTCATACGCTGACCATTGACAAAGGTTCCGTACTTGGAGGTGTCTTTTAAAGTCACAGTCTAGGAGAAAAACACAACAAATCCACTCCTGACGGTGATGTTTTGGTTTATTAATGAATGCGATTTAAATTTAACTGAGGATGGACAGTTATCCATGGAGAAAAACTATCTAATACGCATAACCTAAGTAACAGCACCATCGTGTGGATAACAATGGTATAAATCCCCTCCAAACCATCGTGTGGATAACAATGGTATAAACCTGGTGTTTTCCACAAGGTACACCCAGTACTGTATTAGCAATTTATCAAAATGTTGCTCGATCCGAACTTATACCTTAGTAGTCCCATTTTTGGTCAGTGAACAAAAAAATGCTGACACCACGTTCTTCTTCTTCTTCTTCTTACCTGGTCAGTAGCTCTGAGGGACGCATGAGACCTGCTGATGGACTGGTCATTGGCAAGAAGGATGTCGGCGTTTTTACGACCCACCA